TGCAGCTGCAGCTCCTGCTCGAGCTGGCGTGGGAACAGGCCAGAAATAGCCTGTTCCGAAACCCAGTTTTCGTGCCTGAATCTTAGGGCAGGTCGAAACAAATGAGGGCCTAAAAATAGCCCAGGGCCTAAGAATAGCCCTCCGTTTCAGGCTGGAAAAACTCTGGGTCKGAAAGACCCAGAAATAGGCTGAAACGGAGTAGGGCCTGCAGGCCCTCGTTTTTCAGTTTTCAGGCTGAAACAACTGCGGCCTGTAGATCCTAAGTTTTAGGCTTTTAGGCTGAATGTCCGGGACGGGTCCTACAGGGCCCGTGTGGCCACGCAGTATGCCACACTCTGAGTTGAGCTCGTCGGGCTCAGCGCGCGTCTCAGTCAGTCCACAAATTGCCGAGTTCTAGACCCTCCCTGACCGCTAGCGGGGGAGGAGGGGGCCAAACCAGTAGGAGGAGAAAGAAGGGTGAGGGGAGAGACCGGGTTGGAGGACCCCCGGATAGAGAGAGGAGAGAGAGAGAGGGTTCTCCCGACACCGTTCCACCAAAGTGAAGACAAACGAGAAATATACGTTGTACCAGAAGACTTAGTCTGAAAGCAATCAATCTAACACATATGACTCGAAACTCAGAGGGGACATACATAAACGAAGGTCCCTTCTTGCACATCAAACACATGGGAGAGGAGAAGAGGGAGAGACCGGATGCTACGATCGAAATAATAATAGCCCTCTCAACCCACAATCGTCTCCAAATACAATGTCAAGTCTGATCTGAGTAGATGTCTCCCCGAAACAGCTGCCAAGTCTCTGATCTGTCTCTTGGATGTGAGGAAGGAGGAGGCAGACATGCAGGGAGGAGGAGGAGAAGGAGGATACGAAGAAGAAGAAGAAGAAGAAGAAGAAGAAGAAGAAGAAGAAGAAGAAGAAGATCTGTCTGTCTGTCTGTCTGTCTCTCCCTTTCTCTCTCTTGTAACTCAGGTATTGACTGGTGAAGGTGCTGCCTTGCAATGCAGTAAATCATAGATTGACTTCCAGGCCGCTCGGCCTTCCAAGGAAGGGGAGGAGGCCTCCCTTTCGGAGGGAAACATCATTTCAGACTCTGATATTGCCCGTACAGGCCCTAGACTCAGACTGGTTGGACTGGTACCCGCCTAGACCTAGCCTACAACTACTGGGCCCTCTAAAAATGCCAACTTTTGTCTTCTTCTGCTCGGCCTAGAGTACCCGGCACATCTACCTCTTCAGGGTGTGGTACCGGCCTACCTGCTACTTGAGTGTTTCCCCGCTGCTTCAAGTGTTGCGGGCCTCTTCCCCCGCCACTTGAGTGTTTTCCCGCGGCTGCAATCCTCAATGTCACGGCCACAGGTCAGTACCGGCCCTGAGGGCCACGAACCAACAAGTGCCCTTGCGGGTCACACACACACTCAAGCCAACAAGCACTCAGACAGACATGCATTGCAGACCAGCAAGCGTGCACACACACAGACTTAGAGAACTTAGTAGCAAGTGGGAAACTCAGCAAGGCATTCAGTCCATGAGCAAAACTCAGAAATCAGGTGTGTGTCTCAGTCCGTGTGTGGTCGGGTCATCACAATCGCCAGAAATTAGCAGCAGGGTTTAAGAAAGACGTGCAGGGTTCCAACTCACCAACTTGTGCAAGTTCAATCCGCCTCCTTGTTAATGCCACGTAGATCATCAGCACTGATGGACAATGGTTTGCGGACAACGTATATTGGATGCCATGGTTTCTATCAGGAAATACAATTTCCGACTTCGGAAACGTTGGCACGCAACGGGAGGCCACCTGTTTTCCTTCTGCTGGAATCTCGTCACTGCCATGTGAGCATAACCGGATCCAAAAGAAAAACACATGTGAAATTGTATTAGTATGAAATTATAAATTGAATTAAAAAAAAAAAAAAAAACAAGTAGGAGTGGAATTCAATTGATAGATTGATTTTGCTTTTTGCCACACAGTTGGTCACCACTTGTTGTGAAGTCGCTTATCCTTTTGCGTCTACCCATGAGCTATTAACTTATCATGTTGCTCAGTAATTTCGAGCTGAAAACCAGACACAGCATATTGAAAAGCATCCTGGCCACCACCACCACCTTCTTCTTTCTTCTTTCTTCTTTCTTCATCTTCTTCTGTTTCTTCTTCTTTCTTCTTTTTCCTTGTGCTTTTTCTTCGTCTTCTTCTTCTTTGCTGCTGCTGCTGTTTTTCCTCCTTTCTTTTCTTCCTTGTTTTAAAAACCATTACTTCCTTGGAGCCTCTTTTTGTCAAGGTGGTGTGGAACTGCGCACCAATCGGAGGCCGAAGCGATTTTTAAAACAAAAACGTTAAAACAAAAAAACGTTTTTGTTTTGTTTTGGCTGGCGCCACCAGCCGTTTTGGTCCGGTAGAAACCGGCCTCCGCCAGCCTCTGAAGAATGCGGTAAAGGTTATATTATTATATATAATATTGCCAACTTGGGACAACAGCCTGAAATGAAGTGGTGGTTTAAGAAAGCAGGCCCGACGTCCAGGACATCAGATACACACTCAACAGTTCCCTTCCGCCTGGCGAAGGGACCCTGAGGCAGCAGCATTGATTACTTCATTTTCCAGGAAAGATTTGCTACCACTCCACCCACAGCTGTTTTCTTTATCCTTCTCTAGCCCATACTTTTTTCGCTCCAAGGAGTCCAAGCCCTCTTTATTTTTTGTTTTGTGCGTGTGAAGGTCCAAGCCCTTTCCCTCGTCAGCAATACTTCCACTTAACACATTTTATTATTTTTGAATATAAGTCAGAATAATTCCTCTCAGTCTACTGCTGTGAACTACCATCTTCACCCGAATAGAATGCCCGGTCATTATAGCTGTATTTGGTGCAATTTTCAGACCAGGTATGGCTATAATGATCGGGCATTCTCTTCGGGTGAAGACGGTAGCTGAAAAAAACTGTAGGGACTAGGAGGATAACTCAGACAGTTCTCACCTGGCGATGGCTGAACTTGCAGGTACCGCGGAGCCAGCTATGGCGCTGGTACAGGTAAGTCCTCTTCTCTCTCTCTCTCTCTCTCTCTCTCTCTCTCTCTCTCTCTCTCTCTCTCTCTCTCTCTCTCTCTCTCTCTCNCTCTCTCTCTCTCTCTCTCTCTCTCTCTCTCTCTCTCTCTCTCCACTACCCTCCTCGGCGCTGGACTCCTCCAGCGCTGTGCCTCATTGCCGATGAGCAGCGTAGCTGCAGTCTCGAAATAGCGCAGCAGGGAGTCTCCAGAATAGCGCAGCAGCGAAGTTTCTGAACCAGCATAACGCTGGATTTCTCCTGGTACCTTCTGTCCACGAACTGGGCAACGGCCCAGCTTAAGTAGCGCTGGGCCAGGACTGAAAACCCACAGCCTGCGTTCTGGACCGTGCAGATCGAAACTCCGATCCACGGTCCAGATCGCAGGCTTTGAAACTGGTTCAGTCCTTGGCCTAAAACGGCCTGCCTGGGTCCCTACCGGACGTCCAGGCCCTGTCCAGGATTCAGTTTCCTGGTACCTGGCTTYGAACCGGTCCTGTGCGGACGTACCCGGCCTCAACGTCGGCCTGGGTCCGAACAGGTAGAAATCTGCTCGAAAACAACAGAAAAGGTCCAAACGTTCTTAGGAGCTCAGCCTCTGGGCCTGAATCTGGCCCTGGTCCTAAAATGTGTACCTGGCCACAAAACGGACAACGGTACAACCGTTAAAAAAACAGCAGCAAATAAATAAATAAAAGAATATAAAAATGATCTAAAGCTGGCGTTTTTCTGATGCAGGCCCAAGTAAAAATGTCATAGGGCCTTCAGGTTGCGATGACGCGACCTAGGGGCCCTATTCCAACCTCGGGTCCCGTGAGGGGCCCGTATGTAGGCTTTCAGCATGTAACACGCCCCCTCCTTATGAAGACGAGCCGGGGCACAAGCGAAGCTGCCGATCCGATGGCGGAATGTAGCGAGGAAGGCGAGGAGCTGGAGTGCTCGGCGTAGTCTTCCCTTTGCTAAGATAACGTGAGAGAACGGCGGGAGCTGTGGCCTGCAGTTCCGAACGCGTCAGCCAACGGTCAGCCTTGTGGCTGCAGTAGGAAAAGTGAAGTAGAAACTCTGTTTCTTTGTTGCCATGGTGCCGGTCGGTGATGATGTAGCCGGCCTCCTGAAATCCGTCCATAGAAGGAGGGTCTTGCGTACGTCGACCGGGAAACTCGTCGGACTCCGCTGAGACGAAAGGAGCGAGTTTGGAACAGTGGAACACCATGTGGACGGGCAAGTGAGGTGGCACCGCGATGCGGAATGARGGCCCCTCGGGATCATCACCAACTGCAGAGAGAATGCGCCGAGGCCCCATCCACTTGGGAAGGAGCTTGCGAGAGATGTCTTGCTCAAGGCTGAACTCCGCGGCGCAGACCCAAACCAGATCGCCGGCGCGGAACGGGCAAGGAAGGCGATTGCGGTTGGCTTGACGGCTCATCCGTATTTGCGTCTTCGACATCTGATCCCGTGCCTTGACAAGAAGCTCTTGCATGCGACGAAGGAACGCAAGATGGTCGTCGCTCTCGGCTGTGCGCGGCAAAGTGGCGTCCAGCGGCGATGAGATGGGTGAACCATGCTCAAACTCGAATGGCGACATCCCGATAGCCGGATGGATCGATGAGTTGTAAGCCAACTCAACGTCAGGCAAGCGCTCAACCCAATCAACCTAGTCGGGACGGATGAGAGTGCGTAGAAGGACTTGAGCGGTCTGATGCGCCCTTTCCGTTTGACCATCGGTTTGCGGGTGGCGAGCCGAACTCGGCTTCAAAGATGAGCCCCATTGCTTGACGAGGGCGACCCAAAAGTCGGAGAAAAAGCGAGTGTCCCAGTCGCAAACGATCTCCTTGGGGTAGCCCTTGGAGCGAATCCAACCGGTGTATAAGACCTCGTCTAACTCCGGTGCCTTTGCGTGATAGCGGCAAGGCAAAAACATGGCGTACTTGGTGAGGCGGTCAACGACCGTGAGGATCCCATCAACGCCGGTCTTGTGCTTCGGGAAGGGGCCGGTGATATCCATAGCAATCGCTTCCCGTCGCCCAAGGGGAACTGGTAGTTGGTGTAGCTCGCGAAACGGACGATGGTTGCGTGACTTGCAACGCTGACAGACTTCGCACGACTCACAATAGCGGGTGGCGTCCTTGAGAAGGTCAGGCCAATAGAGCCGCTGGCGAAGTCGGCCAAGTGTACAGTTGACACCAAAAAGTCCGGAGGCGGGTGCATCGTGAAACTCGCCAAGAAGCCGTGTGCGCAAGTGTGAATCACTCGGCACACAAAGCAGATCCTTACCCCGTGAATGCACAAGTAAGTAGCCCTCTTGGATCCGATAATGCGAAGGCACCGGATTCGGAGAGGAGCAATTCACGTACTTGTCGCGAAAGTGGGGGTCGGCTTGATAGCCGCGGATGAAGCTCTCCCGCAAGTCGTCGTCGATCTCGAAGGTAGAGTAGACTGCGGTGCAAAGATCCGGTCGTCGTGAGAGGGCGTCCGTAAAACGGTTTGACTTCCCGGGAATGTGATCGGGGAAAAAGTCAAACTGGTCGATGAAAGCCATCCATTGGGGTACTGTTAATCGTGTCTTGTGACTTGTAGAATACCAACGGATTGTTATCCGTTACCCATCGGAATGCTTTCTGACCAAGGAGGAAATGTCGCCAACGCTTGAGGGCGTGGACGAAGGCAAGAAGCTGCTCCTTTCATGCATCGTCGATCGAATGCACGAGAGGTACTTTCTTGCTAAAGTACTCGACCGGGTGCCAGTCCGTGCCATCGTGCTGCTCAAGGACGGCCCCAATGCCATAGCCCGACGCATCGGTAGTGACGCGCGTAGCTAGAAGCGGGTCGTAGATATGTAACACCTCGGCGGATAAGAGTGCCGCTTTGAGTGTTTCAAAAGAATGGCGCGCATCGTCGCCGAAGTCAAAAGGTCGCTCCTCGCTTTGTAACTTGCTTAGGTTGGCCGCGATCTTCGAGTAACTCTTGATGAAACGCTGGTAATAACCGGCCAAGCCGAGGAAGGATCAGACGTCCGTCACATTCTTTGGCTCGGACCACTCCTGGATGGCTTGAATCTTGTCCGCAAACGGACGAATGCCTTCCGGAGAGACAAAATGACCCAAGTATTCAAGCTCTTGCCGGACAAACTCGCATTTGTCGCGGTTAGCTTTGTCTCTAGAACACGGCGAAGGTGCTCGAGATGCTCCTCTAGAGTTCGGCTATAGACGAGGATGTCGTCTAAGTAAACCAAGACGAAGCGGTCCAACATAGCGCGAAACTCGGTGGCCATGGCCGCTTGAAAGGTGGCCGGGGCATTGGTGAGGCCAAAAGGCATAACTACCCACTCAAAATGCCCATATCGCGTCTTAAACGCGGTTTTGTACYGATCTTGCGGGCGGATGGAAATCTGATGGTAGCCCGACTTGAGGTCCAACTTGGAAAAGTACTTGGCGCCGCCCAACCGCTCAAGCAAATCGTCAATGCGAGGTAGAGGCCCTGCGTTCTTGACGTCGGTAGTCAATGCAAAATCGAAGGTCCTTGTTGTTCTTTCGAACGAAGAGAACGGGCGCACCGTAAGGTGAGCTGCTAGGGCGGATCCAACCCTTGTCAAGTAGATCGTCGAGTTGCGCACCGAGAACCGTGAGCTCCTCCTCGGACATGCGATAAATGCATCCCTTCGGTGGCACGGCGCCGGCCTCAAGTATGATCTCGTGAGAGATTGGCCGGTCCGGCACTATACCGGAGGGTGTCTCAAAAACATCCAAGAACTCGTCTAACAACCGGGTCACATGGGGGTCGGAAGACAC